GCGACGCTGCGCAAACCTGGAGTGATCTCGCGGCGCACCTGGTAGGGCAAACCGGCCAGGGCGGCCCCGAACAGCAACGCGCCCAGGGAGCCGTGCAGTCCCATGAGTTCGGCGGCGGCCACGATCACAAACAGGATCCCCAGGAGCAAACCCAACGAGAGTTGCGGCACATGAATAACGCGCTGGAGCAGCCCACCACAGGAGGCAGGACCTGAAGGACAGTATCCAGGACACGACCGCAAATCCGGCAACCTTTCCCAGCAGCACCAGTATTCCGGTGGGGTCAGGTACTGAACGTGATCGCCGATGCTGAAGCCGATCAGCAGGAGCGTGATCAGCTCGGCGATGACCACGACGGTGTGAAAATCTGCCAAGCCGACCGCTCTTTCAGCCGGCCATCGTTCCGCCAAGACTTGACCACGATGCCGAGGCTGGTCATGGACAGAAACGCCGGCCAGGGCGAGCGCCCTCCGAAAAAGCCAGGCTCAGGCCGAAATCGAAGACGAGGTCGGTGGTGACCGCATCGAATGCCCAGTGACAGGACTACCGAGAGGATCGCCGCCAGGAATAGTGGCCCTTCAGGCTGGACATAAAGCTTGAATGTCGATCTCATCGAGGCCAATGAGGAAGAAGAATAGGAACACGCCGAGCTTCAACAATAACTGGATGTGCAGCGTCGACTCGATGTGCATAGCGTCAGATTCAGGATTGGACCCAAGACTATGCGGTCGCCGCGTAAGCCACGATGGCGTTCAGGCGCAGCCGACGGGAAAACAACTTCCGACAACTTGGCAGCGACGATCAGGGTTCCCAGGGCCAGCAGCGATCCCGGAGTTCGGCCGAGGCCCGGAGACGCTGAATAACTCAGCAAGCCCGAGAAACGACAAACCTTCACGAACATGTTTGTCATTCGCTCCAATTATGCGTGCGTCAACCAATATTAACGCACCATCGAAAGTGTTTTGGAATCGATATAGTCAACCGATCATGAAAGCCTGATTGACCGCCGCTCATTATTCGCAATTGCGGTGGGCTCACAAGGGGCGACAACCCTTGTGATAAACTTGGCGCTGTCCCCTTTTTTGAACGCAAATCACGGAGGAAATTCGATGCCATCGCCGAAGCTGTTGTGCTCCCCGACAACGTTTTCGTCCCATCCACTATGACCTTACGCTTACCCCGAATTTCGACGATTTCACCTTCGCCGGCGAGGTCGACATTCACGGTGAGCATGGAACCCGGCACCACCGAGATCATGCTCAATTGCTCGGAGATCGAGATACATTCGGCCACCGTCAGCTGGACGACACGGTGGCGAGCAGGAACAGCCGGCCAGCGACATCGCCTACGATGCCGACGCGGAAACCGCGACGATCAGCATTGCCGCACACCGGCTGATGGTTGGTGGGCAACCATCACTGCGGATGTCGTTCACGGCGAACTCAAGACAAGTTGCGAGGGTTTACCGCAGCCAGTACCTGAACCCCGAGGCGAGACGCCTACCTGGCACCACACAATTTGAGGCTACGGACGCGCGACGATCCTGCCGTGCTGGGACGAAACCGGCGGCCAAGGCACCTCCAGTCACGCTGGACGTGCGGAGGAGATGGAGGCCGTTTCCAATACACCGATCATCCACGACAGCCGCAGCGGCAACGGCCGCAGAACCCTGTTGTTCGACAGACCACGTGTGATGTCCACCTACCTGCCTGCCTACGTGTCGGTGACCTGACGCACATCGAGAAGAGGCGCCGACGGTACGTTGGTGGGAGTGGGATGACCAGGGGCAGGAGGAGCAGGGACAGTTCGCGCTGGAACGTCGGTCAAACTGCTCTCCTTCTCAACGACTATTTCGGCATACGTATCCGCTGCCCAAACTGGACATCTCGCGATACCGGACTTCGCGGCTGGCGCGATGGAAACTGGCGGTTGCGTGACGTACCGCGAGACGCGCTGCTGGTCGATCCGGCAACTCGTCGGCGGGCACTCGGCAGAGGGTGGCGGAGTGGTGGCGCACGAGATGGCCCACATGTGGTTCGGCGACCTGGTGACCATGGAGTGGTGGGACGATCTGTGGCTCAACGAGAGTTTCGCCACGTGGGTGGGCACCAAAGCGGTGGACTGGCTGTTCCCGGAATGGTCGATGTGGACGCAGTTCGTGAACATGGACACCAACCGGGCGTTCAGCCTGGACGGCTTGAAGAATCGCATCCGATCGACAGGAAGTGGCAAATCCGGCAGAGGTCAGCCAGCTCTTTGACGCGATCAGCTACAGCAAGAGGTGGGTCGGTGTTGCGGATGCTGGAGCATTTCCTGACGCACCCACGTGTTTCCGTATCGGCTGAACGCCTATTTGACCCGACACTCGTATCAAAACGCCCGGACCACCGACCTGTGGACGGCGCTGGAAGAATCTTCCGGGGAGCCGGTCAACTCATCATGAGCAGTTGGACGGGTCAAACCGGATATCCTGTGCTGGATGTGGCGGCGACCAGCAATGCACGGGCTGACGTTGGAAATCGGCAGGAGAGGTTCGTCTTTGACTCGGTGCTGGGGAAGACGCGGGGACGACGAGGAACAGGTGTGGCCGGTGCCATTGACGGTTACGGCCGCCGGGGCGCCCGTCACGCGCACTGGTGAGCGGGGCCACGGACACAAGTGCAGGTGGCGGCTCCCGGGCAACCAGAATGGTTCAAGGTCAACCCGGACCAGACCGGTTTCTATCGGGTGAACTATACGGACGCGGACCGGGAAAGGCTGGCTACGGTGGTGGCCAACCGGGGACTGCCGGCGACCGACCGGCTGGGGATCCAGAACGATGCGTTCGCCACTGTCCCGCGCGGGTTGCTGCCGTAACGCGATTCCTGGCGTTGGCGAGTCCTACCCAGGATAGACCGATGCGTCGGTCTGGAGCGACCTGGCGACCAACCTGCGAGAGATCGAAAGCCTGATCGCCGGGAGTCGTACCTGGGGGCTACCACGCCTTTGGCCGACGACTATTCGGTCCGGCGGCGCAACGGTCGGGCTGGGACGCGCGGCCGGGGAAGGGACACCTGGATGCGTTGACCCGGCCACCGTGCTCAGCCAGGCCGGGGTATACGGGGACCCGGACGTTGTCGCGCAGGCCCAGGAACTCTTCGCGCGCGTACCAAAACGATCCATCAAACGTGCGACCGGACCTGCGCGCGTGGTATTCACCTGGTTGCACAGGCGGGCGACCGGCCGTCTACGACCGCATGTGGGACCTGGAGCGCGCAGCGGATTGCAGAGGGAAGATCCGGTCCTGATTCGATGCGCGGTTCCAGCAGGAGGATCTGCTGCGGGAGACGCTGGACCGTCGCTCACCGACGACGTCGGTTTGCAGACACCATATTTGTGGTATCCGCCGTGGCGGCCCAACAACCGGGCCGCAGCCTCGCCTGGGATGTCCTGAAGGAGCAGTGGGACGATTCGACCGCCGGTACGGAGGCGGAGGCTTCGGGCGATGCGACTGGTCGGCATCATCGACTCGTTCACGACCGAACGCGATGCGGAGGATGTGACAGTTCTTCGAAGCATACACCCACGCCGGCGGCGGAGCGCACGATCCGGCAGGCGTTGGAGCGCATGTGCGCTGACGTGGCTGGCTGGCGTACCGCACACCGCGACTGAAACTGGCGCTATATTTCGCTAGCTCCTGACATAGCCAGCAGATCGGCGGCCAGGCGCTCGATGCGTTTACGCGTCTGGGGGACGCAGGCAAGCCAACGCTCGGGATGTCTCGAAGCGCCGTAACGCGCGCCGCGCACGGCCCCGCGACGCCGCGTTGGTGTCGGTGTCGCCGCCGGCGGCTTTTACCGACGCGATGAGGGCGTGTGAAAGTCCAAAGGCGTGTTCCTAACCTCGCGGCCCACAGGCCCACCGGCAGGGCCAGCAAGCGTTGTGTCCGATGAGCCGGTGGTCGCACAATAACCAGTCGATGCGGCGGGCGGGGGTTCGCCGTCGGCGATGGGCGTCCAGGACGGCTGCGGAATGCGGTCGATGTGGGCGATTGCCTGCGATCGGGACAGCCGTCGCGTAGAGCGCGCGCGTACAGTTCCGCGAGGATTCGCGGCTCCCTCCGTGAGCAGAACGGCGATGGTCGCGTTCACGATGATGCATGACCACTGGCAAGCCGGGGCGTAGTGGGTCACCACGCAGGTGAGCGCGGAATCCGTAATCAGAAGATTTGGATTGTTGCGGCGGGCGATGGCCACCGGGGGCGCAACGCATCACGCCGCCGTGGGTGCGATGCGGTCTCTGAGTTCAAACACCAAACGGGCGGGTTCCGGGAGCGCTTACCGGTTGCCAATTGTCGATCACCTCACCGTGGTGATGACCATGCCGCGGCCGTTGTCGAGCGCCAATCGATCAGCGGTCAGCGAAGTGCGGGCGTAGTCACATTGCCCAGCCGCGCATCTCCCAACTCGACGGCCTGGCGAGGTCGTCGTCCACGGGGTCGGTTGGCTTCGCGCGGGTCGATCTCGGTAAGGCCGTTGGGGTGCGCATCTGCGATGTGATCGTAAGGGCGCCTCGACGGGCAGCCCAACAGATTGCCGCGACGGCGAGACCGAGCAGCACGCCATCGTGCACGGTCACGCGAGGTTCCGCAGTCGGCACGTTGATGGCGGAAGAGGCGATTGATGAACGCAGCGAGCGGGGAGCTTGCGAAACGACTCCTGATGTCGCATGGGAGCTGTATACCTCTGACGGATTCCGGAGTGTCTAGCGGCCGTTTTGGGTCGGTTCCAGTTTGACCACGTTTACCGAATGTTATTAGCCTTGATTGTGATTACGAACAAATGGCCAAGAAATTTATGAACTTTGTCAAAGAACGAATTTAGAGAGAACTGGAATCGCTGCTTCGCCGGGCGCCTTTTGATCACCGACGGCGCGATGGAACCCAGATCCAGGCGCAGGGACCTTGGACCGATGATTTTGGCGGAGAGGAGTACGAAGGGTTGTTTTTGTGTACGAAATAGCCCGTGACCAAGGGTGCAGACATTACGACGCGCCCCAGACGTGATCCACGACATCCCCGCGACTACCTGGATGCCGGCGCTGACATCATACAGACCAACACCTTCGGCGCAACCGCGCTGGTGCTGGGCGAGTACAGCCTCGCTCCCGAGGCGCGCCGGATCAACCGCGAGGCCGCCGGTATCGCCAGGCGAGCCGCGGACGATGCAACGGCCGCTGACCCGGACAAGCCGCGTTTCGTGTACGGCGCGATGGGTCCGACGACGCGGACCATCTCGGTGACGGGTGGCCTGACCTTTGACGAGCTGGCGGCCGATTACCACCAGCAGGCGGCTGGACTCATCGAGGGCGGCGCCGACGTGCTGGTGCTCGAAACGGGCCAGGACACGATCAACATCAAGGCAGGGCTGGAAGGAATAGATCGCGCCCGGGCCGAGATGAACGTTGACGTTCCGGCAGCCGTGCAGGGAACCGTCGAGCCCATGGGCACGCTTCTGGCCGGCCAGGACGCCGAGGCGTTTTACACCTCTCTGGCCCACCGGAACCTGCTCTGGGTGGGCTTCAACTGCGCCACCGGGCCGGAGTTCATGACGACCACATCCGGACGTTGAACGAGTTGTCGCGGTTCGGGATCGCCTGCGTGCCCAACGCGGGTCTGCCCGACGAGGACGGCAACTACAACGAGACGCCGGAGATGCTGGCGGCCACACTGGAACGGTTCGCGGCGAATGGCTGGATCAACGTGACCGGAGGTTGCTGCGCACCGGCCCCCGAGCATATTCGGCGGCTAGTCGAAGCAATGTCCGACAGACGCCGCGGGTGACCGAACCGACGGTAGAAACGCGCGTGTCGGGCATCGAAGCCGTGGTGGTGAACGAGGACACGAGGCCGACCATCGTCGGGGAACGCTACCAACGTGCTGGCAGCCGCGGTTCAAACGGCTGATAGCGGGCGAACGGTTCGAGGAGGCGGCCGAGGTCGGCCGGCGGCAGGTCCGCAACGGGGCGCACATTCTGGACGTGTGCCTGCAGGACCCGGACCGGGACGAAACGTCGGACGTGATCAAGTTCCTGGACCAGCTCAATCGCCGGGTCAAGGCGCCCATCATGATCGACTCCACGGATGCGTCGGTTATCGAAGAGTCGCTGAAACGCCTGCAGGGTAAATCGATCATCAACTCGATCAACCTCGAGGATGGCGAGGAGCGCTTTCAGCGGGTGGTGCCGTTGGCGCGACGATACGGCGCGGCGTTGGTGGTGGGCTGCATTGACGACGACCCCAACCAGGCACAGGCGATCACGCGTGAGCGGAAGCTGGAGATTGCCCAGCGGTCTCACCGGCTGTTGACCGAGAATTACGGAGTGGCGGAAGAAGACATCATCTTTGATCCGCTGGTGTGTCCCCGCTGACCGGAGACGTGAACTACGTCGGTTGCGGCAGCGAAACCATCGAGGGCGTGAGGATGTCAGGGAGGCGTTGCCCAGACCAAGACGGTGCTTGGCGTCTCCAACGTTTCTTTCGGGCTGCCGGCGGCGGGTCGCGAGGTTTTCAACTCCGTGTTCCTGTACCACTGCACGCAGGCCGGCCTCGATATGGCCATCGTCAATTCCGAAATGATGCGCGGTACGCCCAGTATTCCCGAGGAGACGCACACTGTCTGAAGACCTATCTGGAATCGCGGTGAGGATCCGGTGGCCGCGTTTGCGGCGCACTTCCGCGACCGGGCGCCGCGCGCCACTGCGGAAGAGCGGTTGGCGCTGCCGTTGGACGAACGCCTGGCGCAGTGCATCATTGAGGGCAGCAAGGAAGGCTTGGCCGCCGACTTGGATCTGGCGCTGCAGGACGGGTGCCATTGGCGATCATCAACGGGCCCCTGATGCGGGAATGGATGAAGTCGGGCGTCAGTTCAACGCGAACCAGCTGATCGTCGCCGAGGTGTTGCAGAGCGCCGAAGCGATGAAGTTCGCGGTAGCTCACCTGGAACCGCACATGGAGCGCACGGACGCCGCGCTGCGGGGACGGATCCTGTTGGCGACCGTCAAGGGCGACGTGCACGACATCGGCAAGAACCTGGTCGAGATCATCCTGTCCAACAACGGCTACAGCGTGATCAACCTGGGCATCAAGGTTGCGGCGCAGGAACTGATCGCGGGCTACCGGGAACACCAACCGGACATCATCGGCCCTGTCGGGCTTGCTGGTGAAATCCGCGCAGATGATGGTCGAGACGGTGCAGGACTTCCGCGCGGCCGGCATCGCGGCCCCGGTCCTGGTTGGCGGCGCTGCCCTGTCCAACCGGTTCACCCGGCTGCGGATCGCGCCGGAATACGGCGGACTGGTGGCGTATTCGCCGGACGCCATGAGCGGACTCGCGCTGGCCAATACCATCCAGGACGCCGATGAGCGTGAGCGTTTGCTCGCTCGGTTGGAGACGGAGAGCGCCGAGCTGCAGAGGCGGCAGCCGCCCGTGCGTGACGCCGCGACAACGACCAGCGTCATTCCGGTAGAATCCTCCCCGCGGCCACCGATCTGCGGCTCCACGTGCTGGAGGATTTCGATCTCGACGAGATTTTCGGGTACATCAACCCGCAGATGCTTTACGTGCGGCACCTGGGATACCGGGGTCGTTTCTGGGATGCACTGCGGGCAGAAGAACCCAAAGCCGTTGAACTGCGTCAACAGGTGCAACGGGTTGAGGACATGATGCTGTCCCGCTCGGACATCGGCGCCAGCGCGGTATTCAAGTTCTTCCCGTGCCGCTCCGAAGGGCAGTGGCTGATCGTATACGAGCCGGACGGCAAGGCTGAGCTGGAACGGTTCTACTTGCACGGCAGCAGGAACGCGAGGGACTTTGCCTGGCCGACTACGCGCGGCCGACCGGCGAGGGTCCGAAACGACTACCTTGCCATGTTTACGACCACCGTCGGACCGGGGTCGGGCATTGTCAGAACGGTGGAAGAACGAGGGCAGGTACCTGGATTCGCACACGTTGCAAGCCCTGGCCATCGAATCGGCGGAGGGTTTTGCGGAGTTGCTCCACAAGCGGATCCGCACCATGTGGAGCATCGGCGAACCGTCGGGCTGAAGGTCAACGGCGAGGACGAGCTTCGGGACCTGTTCCGGGCCAACTACCATGGCAAGCGGTTTTCGTTCGGGTACCCGGCGTGTCCGCGGTTGGAGGACCAGGAGAAGCTGTTCTCATTGCTGGACGTGACCGCAAGCATCGGGGTTGAGCTCACGGATGGATACATGATGGACCCGGAAGGCTCGGTGTCGGCCGTGGTGTTCCATCACCCGCAGGCCAAATATTTCAGCCTGGACGAGGCGGATATCGAAAGGCTGGAAGCCGAAATCGAAGAGATGGCGGTAGGACGATAGCCGATGGCATCGTCAGCGATCAGAAAGCCCGTAGGCGTTTTGCATACGGGCTTTATTGTTGCCGCAGCGCGGTCCGCGAGTTGGACCGCCGCCAATGCAAACCTACTGGGCGGTGAAGCCGCCGTCGACCACGAGTTCCGCCCCGGTGATGTAGGACGCTTCGTCGCTGGCCAGGAACAGTACCGCGTAGGCCACCTCTTCCCGGCGTCCGGTTCGCTTCATCGGGATGTTGGCGGTCATGACGTCGCGGGTCTCGGAACTGGCGGAACCGCCAGCCATAGGCGGCATCAGGCCGGGATGGACCGAATTGACCCGGATGCCGGCCTCGGCCCAGCGCACGGCCGCGGATTTGGTCATCAGGCGCACCGCCCCTTTCGAAGCGTTGTAGCCCATGTGGATGAAATCCTGGCCCACGATGCCGGAAATGGACGAGATGTTGACGATGCAGCCACCGTCACGCTGTTCCATGGCCCCGATAGCATGTTTCATGCCGAGGAACACACCCTTGGCGTTGATGTTCAGCAGGCGGTCCCAGGTGGTGGTTCCCAGGTTGTCCTCCTCATCGTAGCCGGAGATGCCCGCGTTGTTGACCAGGATGTCCAGCCTGCCGTGCCTGCCGACCGCGTCGGCGATGACCTGCCGCCAGTTGTCCTCGTCGGTCACGTTGAGATGGGCGTATTCGGCGCTGCCGCCGTTGGAAACGATGTCGTCGGCCACGCGCTGCCCGGTATCGTCAGTGACGTCGCAAACGACCACCGTGGCGCCTTCCTCTGCAAAGAGGCGGGCTTCGACCTCGCCCATGCCGCGCGCTGCGCCGGTGACGATGGCGATTTTGCCTTCCAACCTGGGCATGGAAACCACCTCCCGCAATGTGCATTGGACCACAGGGCCGGATTATAGCACCGCCACCCGGCATCATAATGGGCAAGAATTGAGGATCAGATGACGACCTACCGGACCGTGACCTCGGATGTGTCCACCGAGCGAGGGGAAGTTGCGACGGTTGTCGATTCCGGCTACGAATCGGGCGGCGCGCGAGACTCCAATGTCCCCGATTACGCCGCGGTGATCGACATCGGGTCGGGTTCCGCGCGGGCAGTGGTGATGCAGGTGAACCGCGGTGGCGGCGTCGAGATTGTGGCGCAGCGGAGCGTCACGCTAACCTGATGAGCTACGTGCGATCCGACGGCTACCTTGACGAACGGGGGGTTGCGACACGCTGGACGCGCTGGAGGATTTTGCGCTGGTGGCGCGGGGCTACGGCATCGAGACCATCCACGCCGTGGGGACGGCGGCGCTGCGCGAGTCGGGCAATGCCAGCACGATCACGACCGCATCCCAGGAACGGTTCGGCATACCGTTGGAGATCATTGACGGGTCCGACGAGGCCGGCTACTGCTTCGTGGGCGCCATTCACGGCCTTCGTGTGCGCGATGGCTTGCTGGCGGACATCGGCGGAGGCAGCACGGAGGTGGTGCAGTTTCGTGATCGACGGCTGGTGTCCAGCGCGTCGCTGCCGCTGGGCAGCCTGCGTATTGCAAACCAGTTCGAGTTGACGGACTGCCCGACTGCGGAGGCGATGCGGGCGGCCTATGAGCACGTCCGAACCGTTCTCACCGAGGCTGGAGTAGAGGCATCGGAAGACGGCGCCGTGCTGGTCGGCTCGGGCGGGTCGGTGCGGCTGCTGTCGCGCCTGGAGCGAGGAAAGGAGCCCTATCCCATCATCAAGCTCCACGGGTACGAGATCCGGTCAGGTGCACTGGAGAGAGAAATCGAGCTGATGTCGGCGATGACCCGGGCGGAACGGTCCGAAATACCCGGCATGAACCCGGAGCGCAGCCATTCGATCCTCGGCGGCGGCGTGGTGGCACACGCGCTGATGCAGCACCTGGGAGCGAGCGGGCTGCTGGTCTCGGGCCAGGGATTGCGCGAAGGACTGGCCCGGCGCCCGGAGCCTCCGTCAACGTGCGTCGGCGTGCAGTTGCCGCCGCTCGCGTCGGTGCGGGCGGAATCGATGACAGACCTCGTGGGACGGTTCGCCGGCCGGTTCTCGTGTCGGGGCGAACGACGGGCCGAGTTGGCCGGACGGATCGCCGATGCGGTGTGGGGTGGATGGAACCGGCAAATCGCGAATTCTTTGGAGTGCGCCGCACGGCTCCTGGACATCGGGAAACGCGGTAGACTACTACAATCGGCTCAACCGGACTGCGAGTATAATAGTGCGAACCGACCTCCCGGGGTTCACGCACGCGGAATCGGCCCAGATCGCGGCCATATTCCTCCTCGCGGAAACGGGACGGTTGCCGCGGAGGTTTCGCGAGAGCAGATTGCTGCGGCCTGAAGAGTTGCGTCTGTTGGAACAGGCGGCGGTGTTACTGGTTGTGGCCGACGAGTTAGATAGCCGCATGGCGCCGGCGATGCCAGCGAATGCGGTGCAGGTTGCTCGTGCGGGCGACGGGTGGCAGATTGTCACCCCGAGCTGGTCCCCGGTGTCGGCGCCGAATTTGCAAAATAAATGGCGAAAGGCCTTTGGGAACGACGTTCGGATCGAAAGAGGTGAATCATGACGGTTTTGCAAGAAACCCAAGCGTACAAGATGGGCGAGTGCTACGGACGTCATCCCGACGATGGGAAGTTTCCCGGGAAGCTGATCATCGTTGAGGGCATCGACGGCTCGGGCAAGAGCACGCAGATTGACCTGTTGGGCAAGTGGCTCAACAGCCAGAATCTGGTCACCGTGTCCACGGATTGGAATTCGTCGCCCATAGTGGCGCCGTACCACCAAGCGCGGGAAGGTCGAGGAACTGCTGACCCCGATGTCCTTCAGCCTGATTCACGCGGCTGACTTCGCCAACCGGGTGCACGCTCAGATTATTCCCGCCCTGCGGGCGGGCGCCACCGTGCTGGCTGACCGTTATGTGTTCACCGCCTTTGCCCGCGACGCGGCTCGTGGCGTGAACCGGGAATGGCTGCGCCGGGTGTATTCGTTTGCGGTTCAGCCCTCGTTGGCGCTGTATTTCAAGGTGCCGCTGGATGTCTCGATCCATCGGATCACGGTGGGCCGTGAGGAGTTGGGCTATTACGAATCTGGGCCAGGACATGGGATTTTCCAATGACCGCGAGGAATCTTTCCGGATGTTCCAGGGCAAGCTCCTCGAAGAGTACGACTCGCTGACCGAGGAATTTGGACTGATGACCATCGACGCCACGCAGCCCATCGCCGTGCAGCAGCAGCAGGTGAGACGGTACGTGGAACCCCTGCTCGAAGGAGCCATGGATCTCCGGGGGCAGAGCGTTCCGGAGGCGCTGGGTCGACACGGTCTGACCGGGCGGTACGTCACCTCGCCGATGCGCCGCCGCCTGACCGAGCAGGAAGCGCTGGCCGCCGCCGCCAAGTCGGATGGTTAGCAGGCGAGTTCGCCGTCGGGATACGACCGGCGCTAACGCCGCATTAAAGTGAAACCAAGGAGCGACCACGATGGACAACGTCAGGTTCTACGGTCACACCCCGCCCGGAGCTGGAGATGAAGCCACGCCGGGCCGTCTGATCGTGGTGGAGGGCACAGACGGTGTAGGACGATCTACCCAGATAGCGATGCTCAGGGAGTGGCTGGAAGCGGAAGGGTACGCAGTGCTCGTCACGGGTTTCCGGCGGTCGGAGTTGGCCGCCGGTGGGATCGACCGGGCGATGCGGGGGAATACCCTTGACCCGCTGACACTGAACCTGTTTTACGCCACCGACTTCTGGGACCGGCTGGAAAAAAACATTGTTCCGGCGCTTCGGTCCGGCATGGTGGCCCTGGTCGATAGGTACATCTTTTCGATCATAGCGCGGGCGCGAGTTCGGGGAGTATCGCCCCGTTGGCTCAACGACGTGTTCGAGTTCGCCGTCGTTCCGGATGTGGTGTTGTACCTGGACGTGGACGTGGAGCACCTGGTGCCGCGAGTGCTGTCAGTACGCCAACTGGATCACTGGGAATCGGGCGAGGACTTCCTGCGCAGCGCCGACCTGTACGACAACTTCACCCGCTACCAAACGGCGCTGATCGACGAGTTCCGTGAGCTGGCCAAAGAGCACCAGTTCGTCACCGTGGACGGTCGCGGCAGCGTCGGCGACGTTTTTGAGGCCTTGCAGACCGAAGTCGGCAAGGCCCTGGAAGGCATGGGAGCGTTCTGAGCGGCTACAACCCCAGCGCGTCGGCCAGCCGGCGCCGGTGGAATTTAGGGTCGCCGAGGAACTGGTAAAGGGTGCGCGAGGCGGTGGTGTGCAGGGTCAGGCCGTACTCGGTGGTGCTGCCCACGCCGGCGTGGACCTCATGCGCGTGGTTGCACGCGTTGTAGTAGGCCGCGCTGCTGACCGCTTTGGCGAGGTGGATGCTGTCGGCAGCGTCCCGTTCTGAGTCGAGCTTCCATAGCGCCTCATAGGTGGTCCAGCGGGCAGCGTCCAGCTCGTTGACGAGGTTGATGATGTGGTCCTGGACTCGTTGGAAGCGGCCGATGGGGGTCCCGAACTGGATGCGGGTGCGGCTGTAGTCCACGGACATTTCGTAGACCTGCTGCGATCCTCCCACCTGGAAGGCGCAGAGCAGCGGTATCGAGGCGGCCACGGCGCGCTCCAAGGCTTCCCAACCGCCGGCGAACCCGCCGCCCAGCACCGCCGATGGGCCAACCTGCACGCCGTCCAGCCGGACTTCGGCAAGGTTCCAGGCGAACCCCTCGAGGCGACGGATGGTAACGCCCGGGGCGTCAGCCGGGACGATGACCAGGCCAACGTGCTGGCGGTCCTCCGTGCGTACGGCGCAGATGAGATCGGTGGCCGCCGCCGCGTCGTACACGTAGACCTTGGTTCCGGCGATACGGTAGCCATCGCCGGCGGCGGCGGCAATAGTCTGCACGTCCGATTC